TAAAAAATAGGAGCCCAAATTTCAGTACTGTTTACAGCTTCTTGATGGCTGGTAGGCAGAGGCATGGGAGATTCCCTGAGTTTTCAGTAAACATTTGTGAAGCTCTGCTCAGTGTTGGACAGTTTGCTAAGGCCTAGAAACACAATGATACAACTCATGGGAAACGAGTAAGTACTAAAAGGAATTGTAATTAATGTGGTAAGAAACTTAATAGAGAAACAAATAATACCCTGTGAAAACATGAAGTGGAGCATCTGGAAAAATCAAAGGGTTTATAAAAGAGATGATAAGTGAAGTGGGTCATAAAGAAGTAGAGATTGTTAATGATATGGTTTGTGTAAAGGCATATTTAAGATTACAATGTGATTGGGATTAGTTAGGATAAAGTACTAGGGGAAAAAATCAGAGAGTAAACAACTGGGATCAGTTAGAAAAGTCTTTTTTTACTTTTATTTATTTAAAATTAAAAAAAATTTATTATTATTTAAAACATTTATTTTATTAAACTGTGAGATAGCACAGCGGTAGGGCGTTTGCCTTGCACGCAGCCAACATGGCCGATCCGAGTTCGATTCCTCCGCCCCTCTCGGAGGGCCCGGCAAGCTACCGAGAGTATCTCGCCCACAAGGCAGAGCCTGGCAAGCCACCCGTGATGTATTCGATATGCCAAACACAGTAACAACAAAATCTCCAATGGAGATGTTACTGGGCCCGCTCGAGCAAATCGATGAACAACGGGAGGGCTTTTACTTTTTACTTTACTTTAAACTGTGAGATACAGTTTTTATGATTAAGTTTCAGTCATACAATGATCGAACACTCATCTCTCCACCAGTGTACATTTTCCACCACCAATGTTACCAGTATCCCTCTCGCCAACGCTACCCCACTCCAACCCCTGCTTCTATGGCAGAAAATTTTCTTCTTACTCTCTCTCTACTGTTGGGCATTATGGTGTGCAATACAGATACTGAGAAGAGTTAGAAAAGTCTTGCTTATTCAGTATACTTTTTTTTTTCTTGAAAGGAGGACAACCCTGGATACACTCAGGGCTAAGTCCTGGCATGCTTGGGGAACCACACGGGATGTAGGGGGGAAGGGTGGGATCAAATCCCAGTTAGCCATGTGCCCTACCCACTGCATTGTCATTCTGGTCCCTATTGCTCCAATCTTGATGTTAGTTTCCAATCTTTCCTCACTGAGGAAAAAGCATTTTCTTTGGCCATTTTGGTTCATCACTATTCCCTGTTTCATAATGGTTTTAAAACCAGCATGGAAATAAATACAATTTGTTTTTAATTTTGCTGAGTTGGTAATTGCTTCAATTTTAAGATTTGGAACAAAGTTAGACTTAGTTATGCCTTCACACGCCATCTTTCATTTGCTCAGGCAATTGTCACCACTGATCTATTACTGCATATATTTGGTGGAGAAGTGGGGAAAAGGGCTCACAAGGCAGTTTTGATAGATCATGCAGTGTTGGGTGCGGTAGTCGGGGTTCTTGAATGCACACATATGCTCTAGCTCTTTGAGTGACCCACACCATGGACCAATCAGTGTACCACTATTGCATAGATTTAAGTGAAGCTAAGAAGTAGGAAAGTTTGCTTTTTTTCCCTCCAGAAGACCTCTGATAAAGCTAAAGTTGCTGCTAACTAGGGAAGATTTATTTCTAGATCTCCTTTTTGTAAAATTATGTTCTGCTTTGTCAGTAGGGACTGGTTGAGGGAAAGAAGTTAAAAAGCTTCTCTAATTTTGAAGGAAAAGAGAGTACTTCTAAGTTATTTAGCATCCAGAAATACAACAAAATATGTTTTCCTTTTTTGAAGTGTCTTCCTCTTACTCTTTCAAAGTTTCATGACTCCTATGGCTTATAACTTTTTATTGAGCTGTTTTATCATCTGATGATAATTTATGACAAGAGTAGCCTTATTTAAGTTTAATTCAATCTCATTTTATAGCTAGAAAATATAAAAGAAGCCTAAAGTGTCCACTTAATTATTGCCCTTACTTGTTCATTATTACAGCATGAGCAGACATTATCTGGGAAGAAAACATTTGCTGGCTGTGGCTGAGAATGTGGTTAATCTTAGTTGAATCTACATTTTTGGGATGAATGGACAAGCTAGGATGACCCTTAAAACCATTATTAGTGGGAGTAACAAAAGGAGTCACATACCTCAGTGTAAGAAGAACATTTAAAACATATAGTTTGTTGGGAAAGTACAAAACATTTCCCCAATTTAGTAAAATCAAATCATTCAATTCTCCAAAGACTTTTAAATTCTAATCTCCAGCTAGGGGTTAATTATTTTTTTATACTGTCAAATCTGGGCAAGCAAGTTTTATTCTGCAACGAGTATGATTCAATGATGCTGCACAATCTCATTTCCCAACTGTGAAGTCCTAGATCTGGAGCCAGGATATCACTATTAGCCACACACTCAGGCTTGTTTCAGTCATCTCAGTTACTTGTATGTGTGGAGCAAAACACCACAAACATTACAACTTCTAAAACTCTCAATAATGCCTGGGAAGATGATGAAGATGAATAACCATGCTATTCTATGATTTTTATTTACTTATATGTGGTCTGGAAAAGATTACTGACTCTGACTAGGGAGATAATCAGTTTTGGTTGACTCCAAGTTTCTATTGTAAAAAGCTTGGTGGACAATGATTGTTAAACATTTCAAAAATATCATCTATACTAAGTTGCTATTTAAAAAATTAAGCTAGTCTTTCCTAAATTTTAATCTCCAAGTGATTTTGTGTATGGCAGGGAAGTTATATGTATTCTCATTGTTTGGATGAGGACAATGAATCCCAGAAGGCATAGGTGACTTGTCTGAGTTTATGTAAGTGATCAGTCAGTATGATAGTAACATGAATATTGTTCTTGACTCTAAGGCTCTCATATTCATCCTTTGGTATATTACTGGAAGGAATTCCAAGTCCACCACTTCTCCAGAGGGTATGTCTTTCTCAGGATCCAGGCACAAATTCTATTCTATCAATGATCCAGGAAGGTGAGGGCATTGGTTATAGTATAGCATGGTCTGTAAAGAAACAGAGGAAGACTGGTGGCCAAATAAGAAAGCACATGAACAAGAATTATGCTGGAGAAAGTTGTGATCCAGTTTAACAACTCAGCACTTCATGAGCATGTGCTCTGTGCCAGGACCACTGCCAGGAGTTATTTCTGGCACAGTTTTTGCTCTTGAGAATCTCACAGTTTGGAGAGGGAGATAATTACAAGACAGAGTAACAACTGCGGCATGCAAAGGGTGTTATGGGAATGCACTGTTAGAAATCTATACTCTAAACAGAGCTAGAGGGTAAGACTGGGGAGGGAATTAGGAAATGTTTTTATAGAGAAAATAAATCTTAGAATAATCTTGAAGAAGTAATAGAGGTAGTCAAGCTAAAGAGAAAAGAGGAAGAAAGAACATTTCTTATTTCAAAGGTGTGGAGGTAAATGAGAGCCTAGAAAATTTGTTATTGCCAGTGAGTTTGGGATGTGGATAGGAGAGACACAGAGCCAGATAATGAAGAAGGGTGAATGCCAGATTAAGTAAGGGAAATATCTACCCCAAGAAGAAACCATTTACCCACTAAGCAGTCATTATTTACTCTGCTTCCCCCAGCCCTGACAACCACTAATTTGCTTTGTGTCTTTAAGAGTTTACTGATTCTGAATATTTTGTTTATTTATTTATTTGTTCATTTAGTGTTTGGGCCACACCCAGCAGCGCTCAGGGCCTATTTCTGATTGGCAGTGCTTGGGAACCAGATGCAGTGATGGGGATTGAATCTAAATCTATCATGTATGTACAAGACAAGTCCCTTAACCTCACGACTCTCTCTCTGACCTTGAGATTTTGCATATTTTATTTAAATGGAATCACATAATATGTGACCTTATGTGCTAGTTTTTTCCACATGGTATGTTTCACTACATAGATTGTTTAAGCAGATCATCTTTTTACCATCATATTTATACAATAAAAATACATTTTAGTACTTGACTTCTTTTTATGGCTGACAAATATTCCATTGTATAGATTTACAAGACTGTGTTTATAACTTCATAACTTCCTGGACTTATACCTTCCAATCTATAAATAGTAATGCTAAGGCTGTTGATACACTTGTTTTTATTAGAATAACTGTTTAACATTCCTTGAGTAAATAACCAAGAGTGAAATTGCTATGTCATAGTGTAATCTTATACGCTTGTTTGTTTGGGTTATATCCAATGGTGTTCAGGGCCTACTACAGGTTCTGTGCTCAGGGATCATTCCTAGTAGAAAGTGCTATTTGTGGTCTTACTTTGCATTTCCCTGATAATAAATAAATTAAACATCTTTTATGTGCTTTTTAGCTTTTTAAAATCTTCTGTTGAGGAATGTCTACTCAAATCATTTACCTATTTCTGAATTGGACCATCTTGTTGTTATTGCTGCATTATAGGAGCTCTTTATATATTATGAATACTGAAGTCTCTCAGAGATTTTCTTTTCACTCTCTTGATAGTGCCCTTTTATTTTATTTTTAATGTTTTTTATTTTTTTGCCAGACAGTATTCAGGGATTACTCCTCTCTCTGTGCTTAGGGATCATTCCTGATGGAGCTCAGGGAATGCTTTGCTGTGCAAAGCATTTGGTGAGCACACAGAACCATTATGTGGTTCTGGGATTGAACAGAGTTCAGCTACATGCAAGGCACATACTGTAACAGCCGTACTTTTGTTCCGGCCCCAGCTTGACATTTTAAAATTAGCCATTTCAAGTATAATGCTGGGTAGTACTACAGAGGGGGAAGAGGACATCTGGTGCTGAGGATTGAATTTAGGGCCTCGGTTATTCATGAACTCTACCACTTGAGCCAAATCCCTCATCTGGATGCTCAAGTTTTTGAAGAATGTCTAAATATTTTCTACAATGACAGCACTATTTTACTTTTTTTCTCAAAAGAGCCAATTTTTTTTTATTTATCCATTTCTTGCATTTGAAGTATTCTTCGATGACATCCTTGGCCTGTGATTCTTTGTCATAGTCCTTAACCACAACACAATTGCAGCCAACCACTTTATGAGGTTTCCCTTCTCTGTCAGTTTTACAGAGGCCAACCCGTTCCCCTGGTTTCTTCTTGTCATCATCCTTAATTAGGTTGTTCTGGTGTTCCGCACAAAGGTCCTCCACCAACTTGATATACATGGGCACATCACAGTTGGATAAGAACACGTGAAGATGGGCTTGGTGCCTGTTTAATGCTTTGACAGATTCACGGATTCCAATTACAAGGCCATGGCGAACGAAGGCGGTCTTTAGCACCTCTTGTGAAACAGTTTCCACATCCACTATACCAATAGCAGCAATGCCTTCCTTGGCCATGGTGGAGGATTTTGGGTGGAGCTTAATCTTGAAGCACCCCAACCTACACCTCTGCACAATTCTATGGAGCAGAGAAAAAGCTATATTACATTTTAAATAGAGTGTATGTGGGTTTTTATTTCTAAACAGCTATGTCAACACTAGAACACTAGTAGAAAGTGCTATTTGTGGTCTTACTTTGCATTTCCCTGATAATAAATAAATTAAACATCTTTTATGTGCTTTTTAGCTTTTTAAAATCTTCTGTTGAGGAATGTTTACTCAAATCATTTACCTATTTCTGAATTGGACCATCTTGTTGTTATTGCTGCATTATAGGAGCTCTTTATATATTATGAATGCTGAAGTCTCTCAGAGATTCTCTTTTCACTCTCTTGATAGTGACCTTTTATTTTATTTTTAATGTTTTTTATTTTTTTGCCAGACAGTATTCAGGGATTACTCCTCTCTCTGTGCTCAGGGATCATTCCTGATAGAGCTCAGGGAATGCTATGCTGTGCTAGGTATTTGAACCACTATTGACTATATGCAAGGCAAGTCTTTCCCTCTTGTACCATCTAGCTAGGCCTTTCTGTCTCTTTTAGCTTATTTAAAATAGCTGATTTAAAGTTCGTGTACACTACGTCAATGTTTACACTTCCTAACATACGTTTCCTTTTAGTCCCCTTTTTTAACTCTTGTGAGCAGATCATGTTTATTTTATAACATTTTTTCTGTCTTGAAAATGGACAATTTTGATGTGAAATTAGAAAATCCGATGATCTCCCCTCTAGATTTTGTTTATGCTGCTTGTTTGGAGTTTCTGTTCTTTAATTTTTAATGTTTTATTTTTTTCTATTCTTTGTCAGGTATACTTACTAAATTCTATGTTTATATATTAGTGGTTACATCCTTAGTATTTTGCAGAATTTTCTTAAATCCTGAGGAAAAAAACAAAAGCCCTCTTTTTATCTTTGTAGACAGACAAACTCTGAAAATGTATGCATGAATATTTCTTGTTAGTTAATTTAGCTAAGCCATTTATAACTTTGCACTTTCTGCTTGCTCAGAGCCTGAAGGTCAGTCAGAGGTGCAAGCTTAGAGTTTCTCAGAATGTCTGACCAGCTCTGGGAATGTATGTGGTCTTATGAATCTCCCAATATACTTAGAAACTCCTGAAAGTCTGGGTCCTCCCACGTACCTCCTGTCTCTAATACTTCATTTTCTTATCTTTTAGTTTGTCTATTGCTTGTCCTGTCTGCTGCTATTCCTTTAGCTAAGCTGTTATAGCCAATACTTTTACTTTTAAATATTTTTAGCAAATACATCTGAGAAGTTGTTTCAGTGCTTGGAGAAAGCACGAAAGTCTTTGTCTTGATATTTTAGGAAGTGACCAAATAGGTGAAAACACACAAACACACAAAAAATTCATTGAAAGCAATGCTGCTTCATTTGTCACTGATAGCTATTATCATTTTCATAGCAATGAAATTGCTCTGGAGAGCTGCAGGGAAGACAGATAATCTAAATTGCAACAATGAGCAGTTTCTTTCACATTTTCCTGATCATTGGACTTTTTTCCCCCACTCAACTCTAGACTTCTACAAAAGTGTATTCTGTTTTTCTGGTCTCTCAGTTGCTTCCCCAAGTATTCTTTAACATAGTTTTATAATGGTAGACATACATATCATGTATGTATAATCTCCGTGTGTAATTGGTCATTTTGCCCATTTCTAAATGCACAGTTCAGTGGCTTTTTCTATTGGAATTTTATACCCTGACACTCAGTGTTATCAATTTTTTACTTCAGATTTTTGAAGAGGAAAATAATGTCACATAATTGATATTAGGAATTTATGTTAGAAAAGTTAGTCAAGCAACTAAGATTTTATTTATTTATTTGTTTACACTCAGGGATTACTCCTGGCAGGATTTGAGCAACCCTATGGGGTGCTGGGAATCAAATTTGGCTCTGATGTATGTACCAGGCCAGAGTCTACCTGTTGCACTATTTCTCCAGCTCCCAGAATAATTTAGTAATATATAGGGAACCTGGATCTTGCACTGTTATGCTTGTTACTTCTATTCTATAATTACTTTCAAGTAAAAGTGAACAAGTAGTTAAAAATTGATTTATATGAAAAATAATATCAAAAATGATGTGCAATAAAATATTTAAAAGGGAAAATATAACTCAAAATAGCAGATTAAAACAAAGGCATTGAAATACAGAAAGGAAGCAATAAACGAAATTTCTAGAGTAAATCCTAGGGTTCTTCATGCATGGAAACAAAGAGTAGACAGGAGATAATTCCTTGAAGTGTTAATAGGTCTGAAAGAACATTTAACTTGATTTAAAGATAAATAATGAAGCCCCACTGAAGGACAGCGCGGAGGCGCCCCCGCGCGTCCAGCTCCGGGACCGGCCCAGCAGTCCATTGGCCCTCCCCCCATCCAGGTGGGTTGGAGGAGCCCAGCCGAGACCCGCCCCTGACCCAGCGGCGCGCCACCCACCGATCCCCACCGAAGGACAGCGTGGAGGTCCCGCCGCGCGTCCAGCTCCGGGACCGACCCAGCAGTCCATCGCCCCCCCTACCCATCCAGGATCCTGGGAGGGAGAGGCCTGGGACTGGCTAGGGGCGTGGCCTCTAAGAAGGGGGCGTGGCCTCCCAAAGTGGGCATGGCCTTCTTCCTGGCAGGCGGATGCTTACGCGGTCGCAGGTATATCACTCACTCCAAGCAATTTGGACTTTTATCCTTTCATCCTTTTCATCAACTTGTCACCTAATACCAACCAAAAATTTCTCACCTCTTCTACTACAATTCAACAACATCCCACTCGCCTACTCCATTTCCAAAAAAAGTCCTGTTTGAAAATAGCTGTACAAGCTCAGTATTAAATAGCACCTCCTCCAAAAGTTTCACTCAATGTCAGTTATAAAACAAAGAATAACGCCTGATTGAGAAGAAGGTCAAACTCAGAAAGGTAGAAGAGGCCCATCTAGCAGCAACAAAGCTGAACGGCGCCTGGCAGTCTCTCCTCACTCAACCAGAATAGTAACAGTGAACATGAAGGAACAAACCACATTGGTCACAATGGTAAAGCAATGCAAAAGCCCACCAAACTTTCTTATTCACAAGGCTAGCCCAGAAGACACCAACAGTACTGTAGCGTTAGACAACCTCTCTGACAAGGAATTCAGAAAGGAGCTACATAGGATGCTTAGGGAACTAAAAGAAACAATGGAAAGCAATGCCAATAAGAGACAAGAGGATTTGAAGGCAGAAATGAGGAAAATGCAATCAGAAATGTCGGACCTGAAAAACCTGGTAGCCGAATTGAAAACCTCAGTGGAAGGCCTCAGCAGCAGACTAACAGCGGCTGAGAACAGAATCAGTGAGCTCAAAGATCAAGTTCAGAGACTTGCCAGAAAAGAGCAGAAAATAGAAAAGAGACTCACAGTTCGAGAACAAATGGCAAGAGATGATCGTGACAAAGCCAAGAGGGGTAACATAAGAATTATTGGAGTCCCAGAAGAACGGGAAGAAAACCTTGACGAAGAAGAAACTGTCAAAGAAATCATTGCTACAACGTTTCCAGAGCTGAAGAAAACTTGTGACCACATTCAGGAGGCCCGAAGGGTACCAGTTAGAAGAAATCCGAATAAAAATACCCCAAGACACATCCTGATCAAAATGACCAAAACTTTAGACAGAGACAAAATTCTGAAAGCAGCAAGATCAAAGAAAGAAATCTCTTACAAAGGAGCATCCTTAAAATTCACAGCTGATTTTTCTGATGAAACCCCATGGCCCGAAAACAGTGGTGGGACATAGTGAAAAAACTCAATGAAATAAATGCCTCTCCAAAAATACTTTACCCAGCGAGACTCTCATTCATAATAGAAGGAACAACACACAGATTCACAGACAAACAACAGCTCAGGAACTTCATAGACTCAAAACCATGGTTACAAGAACAACTAAATGGGCTACTTTAAGGCAAGACAGGCCCCTCAAATATACCAAATTTCAACAGAACAATGGGGAAAAATCCCATAACAATAATCTCTCTCAATGTCAATGGGCTAAACGCACCTATGAAAAGACATAGAGTGGCAGGATGGATTAGAAAATTGAACCCAACATTCTGCTGCCTGCAAGAAACAGATCTCACTAGTCAAAGCAAACACAGACTCAGAGTCAAAGGCTGGAAAACAATCCTACAAGCAAACAGCTCCCAGAAAAAAACTGGGGTAGCCACCATAATATCAGACCACATTGATTTCAGAGTGAAGAAGGTCATAAGAGACAGTGGAGGCCATTTCCTGTTGATCAAGGGATCTGAACAACAGGAAGAACATACAAAAATAAATGTATATGCACCTAATGAGAGACCAGCAAAGTACTTAAAACAACTACTCATAGATTTGGAAAAAGACATCAATAGCAACACAATACTAGTGGGAGACTTTAACACCGCTTTGTCACCTCTTGATAGATCAATCAGACTCCAGCTTAGCAAGGACATACTTCATCTGAGGGAAACAATGGAAGAAAGGGACTTAGTAGATATATACAGGACACTTCATCCACAAAAAGCTTAATACACATTCTTCTCAAGCGTACATGGAACATTCTCCAAGATAGACCACATGCTGAGCCACAAAACATGCCTCCATAAAATTAAGAAGATAGAGATTTTATCAACAATCTTCTCAGACCATAATGCGCTGAAATTAGAAGTAAATCACACACAAAAACAGAAAACTAAATCAAACACCTGGAAATTAAACAGTGCGCTATTGAACAACGAGTGGCTTAGACAGGAAATTAAAGAGGAAATCAAAAGATTCCTAGAAATGAATGAAAATGAGGACACGAATTACCAAAACTTATGGGACACAGCAAAAGCTGTCTTAAGAGGAAAGTTTATAGCTCTACAAGCATTCCTCAGGAAGGAGGAGCGAGCCCACATAAATAAACTAACCGCACAGCTTAAGAACTTGGAGAAGGACCAA